GAAAGAAAGAAAGAAAGAAAGAAAGAAAGAAAGAAAGAAAGAAAGAAAGAAAGAAAGAAAGAAAGAAAGAAAGAAAGAAAGAAAGAAAGAAGTCAATGAGTTTATCCAGAATATGTCGTTTTTTTGTCCACCTCCTTGTTGTGATTCCGAACACTCACATGATAGCTCTCATCAAGCTGAGTTGCGATGTTAACTTGACCTAGCATGGCTAGCTTCATAGCACACTGTAATTGTGCTTTGCTTGACTCGTGTGTCTTGGCTCGTTCAGAAAAGTGCTTCCAATTGCTTAGGCCACTTGAGGTCCATATATATTTTCTTGAACTTGACTGGAACAAGAGACACAGAAAGCAAAATACCGTGTTCCTGATAGAGCATCCGCATAGCCATTGTATTTTTTTCATACCATGTTCGAGAAAATGTCCTGTTGCACATATTCCCTCTGCCTGTAGTGTTTTGGATTATGGTAATGTCCGGTCTGTCTGGTCCAAGCTGCTTGATTGCTATTTTCTCATCTAATTTCAGCCTTTCAAATGGATTTCTTAACAAAAAATCTACACTATTGCACACAGTAGGCTCCACCTCGCACGCCATTTCTCAAGTACAGTGTTCAGAGTAGCTAGTGATCGTAATCAATGCGCCGCTGAAACTAGCAAATTCTGTCAATAGGACATACTATTTTACACCCCAATGACAGACTATTTGGCGCAGCCTGCACTTCCAATCATTGCTGATAAGGTACTATTATAAAACTGACCATGAAGTCGGGCATCGGCATGTTCCGCCCTGGAACTGTAAGTGATTAAAAAAACAGAAAATAAACGATTAAAATATATTTAAATCGCATGTAAAATAGTTAAAATTTGTTGGAAAACACACAGAAAAAAACCCATAGCACAGCAAGCTTGGTAAATAAGAAATTTCTATATTTATTAGAAAGAACTACTTTATGGGGCGAATGGTTTTTTTATGTGGGGCTGTGCCCCACCTGCCTTTATGGACCAGCCGCGCCTGACCCTTGATCCTTTTATGGAAAGGAGCGCTTCTATTTTCTGGTTGTTTGTTTGTAGCCTAGCTTTAGCTCAGCTTCTGTTTTCATAGGCTGCAAGAAAGAGTCTACCTAATTCCTCCTCCTTTAGAGGAGCTACACTTTAGGCTCAGTGTGTTTTGCTGGACGCCCTGTTTGTTCACTCCCTGCTTTATGCCATGGGATCCTTTGGCCGGTTTTCTACCTGTTGCCGTGTTGCTTCTTCTTCGGCTCCTGCTGGTCATCGTTCTGTCCTGACTGGCTTAGCGACGCTCAGCTTGAAGTGATTCTGTGGGCTCCTCACAGCTCCCAGATGGAACCTTAATTCATGCAATAAAGTCCACTGCTACTTGGCTACCTGCTACAGGACTGAGACATCTCAACTTTTACTATATTTTTTAAATATTTTTAACCATTTAATTTGTTAATTGTCTGTCTGTTTTCTTAATTTCTTTTCTTGTATTTGTGACAAGGCAGTGGCCAGCTCCTGGTGGTGGTGGCGGTCCTTTTCGGGTGGTGGTCCTCACACTGGTTTACGGTGTATTAATTTTTCTTTCTTTTTTGCATGCTGTGTTTTAATTTGCTTGGACCACTGCTCTGTCTAGCATTGTCATGCCAGAATGGGCCCTGATTTTTAAATGTGTGTGTGTGTGTGGGGGTGGGGGGGGGGTTACCATTGTTTTTTTAGATTAGTAAATAAAACCATTTTTAAATTGGATTGAATTGTCTCTTGCCTCATCTGTGGTAGGTCCATGGGCCTTTAAGGGAAATTTGAAAGTAGGGTTCTTGAAATAAATTGTATCTCTATTTAAATAGTAGTTGCTAAAATCTTAACTGTTGCCACACTAAGCTTAATGGTACATTCACACCAAACGTGTTTTGAGCATAAGGAGCATCTGGTTTACATGCAAAGTCAATGGTGGACGCGCATCTAGGGGCATCTAGAAGCCGAGCAGCGCGTCTGGCGCATTTGGAGCAGCGCGGCTTGAAGCAGTGCACGCGCGGCACTTCCCAAGCATCCGCAGTGTGAGTTGGAAAATCTGAACTTTTGCTGCTCAACACGTCGCAAAAAACAATCCGAGAGACTCATTTTTCCATGTGACAGTTTCCTGAATGTTGCCTACTAAACCGAAACAGACGAACAGGAGATCTTTACCTGAAATCGACCATCTGCAGTTGGATTTTCTGGCTGGATATGTATAAGTGCCGATGTGGGTCAGCTGGTTGGGACAAAAGAAAAAAGTCTTTCAGCTTATGGAGCGGTGAAACTAGCCAAACAAATCGCCTCTAAATCATCTGGTGAGTTAATTTTCTGCTGTGCGCAATGTTCGCTTGCTCTTTAGTAAATAAATCAAAGCCATTTTCTCTTATCTTTATTTCACAAGCTGAGGGCAGATGCTCCTCCTCCCACATTCTGCTGCCACTGCTGCTGCTTCTCGTTCTGTTCTGTCCAGCATCAAGATGCATGAGTTTTGAGATTTTTGGAGGTGCGCAATGCATTTGGTGTGAATGTACCATTAGAGCGGCGTGATTTGAACGATTTAAGCATTCGACGTGCTTGATGCGCAAATCGCTGAAGTTAGAAAATCTGAACTTTTGCAACTCGACGCGTCATGTCAACCAATCAGAGAGACTCCACTGTGTGACGTAGTGACAGATTTCCCTATGGGACAGTTTACAGAATGATGTCTACTAACCTGAAACAGATGGAGAGGAGCTCTTTAGCTGAAATCGAGTGCCGGTAGTTGGTGTCCTGACAGGAGATATCCGCACCAATGTGTGGCAGCGGCTCATCAGACTGGACTCGGGACAAAAACAGTCCTGAAAACGAGCCGCAAGCCTCTCTCACAGCTCCTGGGTGATGAAACTCACCAAACTCAGAACGTCTCTGAATTATCTGGTGAATTAATTATGAATTAGTTATCTGATGAGGGTGACATGCTCTTGCTCTCTGTAAATAAAGCAAAGCCACTTCCTACATCAAACAGAGGCCGGCAGAGGAGGGAGGGGTGGAGAGGCTCTTGCCGTGCGAGCGCTTCAAGAGCTGACCTGCGTCTGACCTCAAAGTGCACAAGCGTCCAACTTGAAGCGTTGGATGCGATTTTGACGCTGAAATCGCGTTCGGTGTGAACGCACCATCATAGGTAATACCGTGTTTGGAAGTAGAAGTATCTATTCAAGCAAGTGTAAAAGTACTGGTTTTAAAACTAAAGTATTAACGTAAAAGTAACATAGGGGGGAGAAAAGGCCATTAAGGTTTAAAGTTTAGGCCGTGCAACAGGGCAAATAGTACACAACCCCACCTCCACAAAATAACATTTTCAAAAGACAATGAGTAAAAAAATAAAATAAAATGTTAACGTTGAAAAAATTCGAATTCACTAGTGCAGGGTTTCTCAAACCTTTTTGGTCTTGGGACCCCTTACAATGGCGAAAAACATTCCAGGGACCCCCTCATAAACCCATGCTGTTTTAAAAAATAATTTATTGTCATTTCAACCCCTAAATGCCATAGGAATATATATTTTTATTCAGTTAATTATGTTTGTTTTATTAGTTCATTATTCTTAATGCAGTTTAAAAAAAACACTTTCATGAAATTTTTTGAGGCCCCCCCAAGATACCTCTCGCTGACCCCTGGGGGTCCTGGGACCCCAGTTTGAGAACTTCTGCACTAGTGTACCTGTTTTAGCTACATATGCCTCTGCCACCATCAGCTTCATAGGCTGCACCTGTCTGATATGTCCTGCTGGAGTGTGACGTGATTTGTGTCATACAGGTGTGATGGACCCAACCAATAGGATGTCAGAGGGTATGTATTTATACTTCTCATCCTATTACATTTAAATTGTCTTAAATAGTATATTATTCACTGGATAGTTTTTTTTTCCCGAATGATGACAAGCCAGAATGAAAACAAGCTGAAGTGAAATGGAAATGAAATATGTTTTGTATTTTCAAAATGTAAGGAGTAGAAAAAAAGTTGGCTGAAAAATAATTATTCTAGTTGTAAGAACTCACTCAACTCACAATTTATTTTTAGATATATGAACAGGATTAAACATACAAACACTTATTAAAAATATTATATGAATAAATGACACAAGTTATAGTTTTGACATATGAATTTCACCTCAGTGTTGACAAAAACAGTAAGTTCCAGGTGTTGTAACTTTACTGGCATGCTGCTTAACTAAGYTTTAAGTAAATAAGAGAATAAAGGTAAAGATTTAGCTTTAAGAATAGGAGGGAAAAGAAAATTAGTGAATTTAGCACTGTTCTTTATAAATACGGACCAGACCAGCACACAGCATGTCAGAACGAGACACCTCCGAGCTAGACTTCAGCGTCTTATCTCAGCAAACATTTCCTTCTACCTTTTAGATGTCTTCAGTCATGGCCGAGACAGGCAGGCAGGTAGACGATTTTGAGAGTGACCGCTCCATGAAGTCCGCAGATGGATAATGTCTCCATGACACCAGGGCTGAGGAGGGAGACTCCTGTCTCACCCCTAGCGAGCCTCCAGGCTCTCGGTGCTGGCCGCCTCAGAACAGTCGCTTCGTGGCAGTTAGTAACATTCAGACTCCATCCACACAGGCAGGTGTCCAGAGACGGACGTTACTTCTCAGAGAGAGACCCAGTCAGAACCATCCTTTCTCCAACAAGACACGAACAACTGACTAGTGTTAACCGTCTGAACAGGAAATATTAGTACTTTGAGAGAGAAGAGGGTGAGAAGGTAAACAATCTGTCTTTCCCACCAGCTGCAAGTTGTTATCAGCAAAAAGAGACCTTGGGGTCTGAGTAAGGCAGACTAAACTGGTGGACTTAGAAATCACTTCACCTAAGGTTATAAATCACACCTTTGCACCAATGGATTAATAATAAAAATTAATAGTACACAATTATTAATCTTTAAACCAATTAAGAATCATGATAAAACCATGATTAATAAGTCAGTACTAA